TCAACAGCATGTGTAATGCCCTGTAGTGCTTGACCCTTCACCCATTCTTGAGCGTAGCTAGGACCGGGGCCGCATGAGTATCTAAGGAATAAGAAGATCGCAATTTGGGTATAAAAACAAGAATCATCACACAGACGTGCAGTCGCAGAGCATTGTGCCTGACGTGTAGGGCGTCTGGAGAGTGCGTCGACCACATTTGTGATACCCTGATATGCATAACGGTGAAGTCATGATGCGGGAGCCGGGTGAGCCACTGAACAACTCTTTCGTTATCATAGTCTTGGAGGCTCTTTTTCACGTGTTTCAGCGGTTGACGATCGGTTTGGAGAGTAAAGTGCCCGCCATACAGGTAATTTTGACACTTTTTCACATCCTAACAGACCCCGTAGAGCTCCTTCTCCCCGACCGGATACCTTTGCTGCCTCTTTGTGAAGCGATGTGAGTAGAAAGCAACTATTTGGTGCGTTTTCGAGCCGTTAGCCTGCTGAGACACCACAACCCCGACTGCGGTGTCGCTGGCATCCATCGTGAGGAAAACATGTTTATCAGAATTAGGAAGGGCGAGCCCTGGCGATGACGTCAGGTGCCCGACTAGGCTTTGGGCAGCTTTATCCACGTTATCCGTCCAAATGAAATGCTTGTCCTTCTTAAGAAGGTCCGTTAGAGGGGCAGCAATGCGAGCGAATCTAGGAATGAAATTGCAATGGTATGGGGCGAGCTAAAGGGACTTCTGAACATCCGTCCCCATGTGCAGCGGTGGCGGCCACGTCTGAATCGCCACGATCTTAGCTGCATCTGGTTTAACCCATGCTCCAGAGAGACGAAACCCTAGGAAGCTTATTGTTTGTATGAAAAACGAAGTCTCGGGTTTTCACGAACCACTGCTTCTCACGTCGTTGTTGCAGCGCCCGCCGGAGGTGCTGCAAGTGCTCTTGCATATTTCGACTGAGCACTAGCACGTCATCCATGTATATTACCATCACCCCCTCAGAGATTAGCCTCAGGAAGTCGTGATTGACCTGCCGCTGCAGTTCAACAGGTGCATGCATGCGGCCAAAGGGCATACAAGTGTACTCCAGCTTGCGAGTGCGGGTGTGGAACGCTGTCTTGTGCGTGTGCTCAGGACGAATTGGGATCTGTAAAAGTGCCTCAGCGGAGTCAAATGCTGAGTTTACCGCTGAACACTCTATGCGCTAAAAGATTTCGTCAATCCTGGGAATCGGAAACTTCGATTTCACTGTGATTTTGTTGAGGAGCTTGAAGCTTTTTCTCAGCAGTTCATCCGCCTGCTGCTCAGTTCCCCTTCAAGATGTGAGAGTCGCCGATACCTTGGAAGGAAGCTTCGGGCTGGGCCGGGAGTGAGTTCGATTCGTCGCATTGA